TTTGCTTTGGAGCCATCCCTTCCTGAGCTAAGAAAAAATGTGTGAGTCGGAGGCTAAAAAACTGTGAGCTAGCTCACACTAACTCAGCTTAGAGGGAACACTGACCCACAGCCTACGTCTGTTTTTTGCCATTCTAATTTTAACCTTGTATAAAAACAACCCTTTGAATTCTTGTTTATTATAGAAGAGACTTGTGTTGCAGACTCCTCCTCCATATGAAGCCTGCTGGGGGGACTTTGGGCCAGTCACAGTTCTCTCAGCCCCACCTACCTCACAAGCAATGCTCCCTCTAAGCTGTGGAGCCTTGTGTGCAAAAATTCTCTTTTGTGAGCGACTGGCATTAAAGTTGTGAGCGAGCGATTTGGCTGCTGCATAAATTAGTTTGCTTTGGAGCCATCCTTCCTGAGCTGAGACAAAATTATTATAGAAGAGACTTGTGTTGCAGACTCCTCCTCCATATGAAGCCTGCTGGGGGGGACTTTGGGCCCGTCACAGTTCTCTCAGCCCCACCTACCTCACAAGCAATGCTCCCTCTAAGCTGTGGAGCCTTGTGTGCAAAAATTCTATTTTGTGAGCGACTGGCATTAAAGTTGTGAGCGAGCGATTTGGCCGCTGCATAAATTAGTTTGCTTCGGAGCCCTCCCTTCCTGAGCTAAGAAAAAATGTGTGAGTCGGAGGCTAAAAAATGGTGAGCTGGCTCACACTAACTCAGCTTAGAGGGAACACTGCTCACAAGGTGTCTGTTGTGGGGAGAGGAAGGGAATGTGATTGTCAGCCGCTTTGAGACTCCTTAAGGTAGTGAAAAGCAGGTTAAAATCCCACTCTTCTCTTCTTCTTCCTCCTCCACATGAAGCCAGCTGGGTGGCCTTGGGCCAGTCAGTGTTCCCTCAGAACTCTCTCAGTCCCACCTGCCTCACAAGATGCCTGTTGTGGGGAGGGGACGGGAATGTGATTGTAAGCTGCTTTGAAACCCCTGAGGGTAGAGAGAAGTGGGGTATAAAAACCACTCCTCTTCTTCCTTTCATTCTGCGTCTTAGAAGTCTAACGCGCAGAATTCGCACTGCTGGATTTAGATCTGTTCTCTGCACTCATGAGCAGTGTTCCCTCTAAGCTGAGTTAGTGTGAGCTAGCTCACAGTTCTTTAGCCTCCAGCTCACACATTTTTGCCTTAGCTCAGGAAGGAGGGCTCCAGAGGAAACTGATTTTGCTTCAGTAGCCAAATTGCTCACTCACAACTTTAATGCCAGGAGCTCACAAAGTAGATTTTTTTTGTTCACAAGACTCCATAGCTTAGAGGGAACATTGCTTGTGAGAAAGAGCTGCAGGATATGCTGTTTTGCATGGAAACCGAGGAGACCGAAACTCCTTCCGTCAGAAAGCGTGCCGTTCTTTAGTGGTAGCGACATCTGTGGGGTGTAGCCGCAGTTCGGTACAAATCCAGTGATGAATCTCCCCCCCCCTCCATTTCTGTCCCATTGTCTAGGCTATTACGGGAATGGCCATAGACAATCACTTGCTGGGTCTGAGAGAGATGGCCCGCGAACACTTCAAGGAGCTGCCAGACATATTTACTGACGAAACGTATTTGACAAGCAATCGATTTATCCTCTCTACCAGCCAGGTGAGTGAAAATTCATATTGGGATTAGTCATAAAAAAAAAAGCACTCTCCCATTATTCTCACCTTGACAGAAGTTATGAATCAGTGACAGTCCCTGATGTATCTTCTGGCGGCTGAGTGACCCAAACAGCTCTCCAGAACGCGTCAGCCCTTGCATTTTATTTGTCACAACCAAAACTAATCACAGAAGCAAATTAATCTTTGCTTTGAACGATGAAGAGGGATGGAGTCCGAAGGATGGATAACAAGCAGACCAAGGGCTGCACCGGACCCCCACATCAGCTTTGGTTCAGTCCATAGGGGCCCCATCCTATTGTCAGACTCCTGGACAAAGTTACTCTCGACAACACTCTCTGGCAGTGATTTGTTTATTGAGGAATAAAGATGTTCCAGGCCAAATCAGTACTGTGTCAGAACTGAGTTTCTGGCGGGAGAATCCAAAGATATAGACAGTTCAAACAAAGCCCCCCTTCAGTCACAACCAATCATACTTCACAATCGTCCTGCCTAGCTTTCATGCATTCTACCTCACCACCACCTGTGAATATACGGTTTCTTTATCTATGATGGCAAAGCAGGCACAGTTAGGCTGCAAGGTCACCCCTGTACAAGGGAGGTATCTTAGGAAGAGTTACACTGGCACTACAACAGAACTGTTCACACACTCGCTCACTCACGCCCCTCACTCAGGAATTTCCCTCCCTCTGCAGGCCTCCAAAACATGGCAAACTAGAGACCGAGTTTGACACCTATTTTATTTAAGATGTGGAAGATAGAGATTCAGGGTCTGGAAACAAATTTTCTTCGTGAACATAACAGAGAGAGATATCATTCCTTAATGTCCCAACTTTCTTGGGCTTTGTTGGTAATGCTGTAGCTGTGACCAGGGCTTTTTTTTGTAGAAAAAGCCCAGCAGGAACTCATTAGCATAATAGGCCACACCCAACAGCTGAAACTCATTAGCATATTAGGCCGCACCCCCGTGTTACCAGCCACACCCACCTTTTGCTTCTTATTCTGTTTACCTTGTATGTTGTCAAAATCCAGGGCTTTTTTTGTAGCAGGAACTCCTTTGCATGTTAGGCCACACACCCCTAATGTCTGCTGTTGGGCATGGCCTGTTATGCTAATGAGTTCCTGCTGGGCGTGGCCAACTCAGGAGCCAGCTGGAACTCCGTGCCTGTGCGTTCCTGCCCAAAAATAGCCCTGGCTGTGACCAAACACATGTGCTCAACAATTGTCTCTTCCTGCGAATACAGTAACAACTTCATAGAGTCTGACCATATATGAAAGCCCTCTAGTTGCTGAGTAAAGAATAGCCTTTAATACAACAGCAAAACAAACCCCAAACACTACCAACATGGCAGAGGTCTATAGCATAGCACATTATATGAAGTAGGCAGATAGGGAAACTTTTCTCCCTATCCCATAATACTAAAACTGGAGGCCACTGTAGTCCTGTTCATACAGTGGATAAACATAAAACCTGTACATGTATGTACATGTATAATACAGATATGAATGTACATGTATAATACAGACATGAATGTACATGTATACTGACATTTGTAAGAAACAGCCAATGTGCGTTCCCTTTACAAATGAAACCTGGATAAATGTGGGGTTTAAAATCAATGCATGTATAAAGAACAATCAAGTGTATGCTGTACACGCATTGTACATACGTTGAAAAGTTGTCACAGACTCGACAGGTTGGAACCTTCTGGATGTAGATTCTCAGAGCAACTACATGCCTAAAGCCATTGCTGTCTTTCAGTATCAAAAGTCTACAGGGAAGAAAAAGTTCCAATCCTGAAACATCTGTCAACATCTGACTATATAACCATTCTCTTCCTGGGCCCGTACCCTACAGGCAACTTCCTGATGGTTCATACAGGATTATTCTCATTATTATTTATCACACTGGGCTGGATTCTGTCTAAATTCCATGCACGGAAGCAGGACGTCTCTGATACCCCCCCTCTACTGCAGATTGAAATGCCTCCTGAAATGCTGCTCCTTGGGGAAAGGGAGCCTCCTTAAGTACGGAATGAGTGGGGAGCTGGAGCAATGCCATTGAAGGGGGGGATAGGCAAAATTCACCCTTCTACAAGATCCAACCCATTGCTTTTAATGTTCAGAGTGTTTTCTAGACTTGCAGTCCTCCTCAAAGCAATCTTATCAGATAGGTTATTATTCTTTGCATTTGGCCGATCGAAAACTAAGTGAAGAAGGACTGCAACTCAAGGGTGTCAAACATGCGGCCCGGGGGCCGAATCAGGCCCCCGGAGGAAATCCATCAGGCCCGCAGTAGAACTGGCCATCTCCTGCTTCCAGTTCTGCTGCTACTGCTGCATCATAGCTTGCTTCGCCAGACTCTCTTAATCACTCAGCCATTTCATGTTTTAACCTGGGTCCTAGACTCAGAACTCTGAGCATGAGATTTCTGTGGTGAATGTCAATAAAGCAAAAGTAGGTTTGCAGCTTACAGAGCTAATGTTTTAAGCATGTTTTTATTTTAAGTTAAAAAAAATCTTTGTGTTTGTGTCCTTTATAAAGTTTATATCTCTGCTACGTGGCATTACATTTTATGACACACATGACCCGGCCCAACAAGGTCTCATTTATGTCAGATCCGGCCCTCATAACAAATGAGTTTGACACCCCTGTTCTAACCACTACAGAAGCCAGTATTTGATCCTAGGCAGAAGCTTGGTGAATTAGAATGGAGCACTTCCTCAGGATCTGATATCCAAAATTGCTGCCATTCACCGCTGCCCCTTTACAGCTCCCCTCTTCCTGCTTTGGCTTCCGCTTTAACATTTAAGATGAAATGTTACAGAGTATGCAACCATTCAAAGTACATAATAATGCAAAACAAACTAAGACAAGATAACAATATATAAAGGAGGTCATTTAAAATTGAAAACTGTATATAATAATAGACCATAAATGAAAAGTAATGCATTACTAAGAATTCAGAGTTTCTAAAGGTGCCTAGGACGGCAAAGGATGAGATGGTTAGACAGTGTCATAGATGCAACGAACATGAAGTTGAGCAAACTTCAGAGGACAGCGGAAGACCGGAAGGCCTGGCATGATCTGGTCCATGGGGTCGCAGAGAGTTGGACTCTACTGTGCGACAGAACAACAACAACAACAGGATGGTAACTCGATCAGTCTGTGTAGAAAGGTAGTTAAATGAAGAGCAATTTAAGATCTATTTCCTTATACAGACGGATGTCATTGGTCGTTACAGACTCTAGAAATGGAAATCATTTTTGGGAGAAACAGGGTTGCTTGGGGAAAATTTCTGTCTGGTATGTGATTCGTAATTTTTTCCATTATAAAGAGGTCCCAAACTTATTGAACCAATAATCAATAGTTGGACCAATTCTTGACTGCTGAACTGAAATCCCCAGAGACACTATGCTGAAGGTGGAATTATGTCCTTTCTTTCTTACCATTCCCTGATTAATCACATGGCACAAGTGGAACTTGCTAGCTATTGGGACAGGACCATAACAGAGGTGGGGAGGGTTGTGGTCGAAAGGGCTCTCAAATTGCAGCCAACTTATGGTGACCCCTTGAAGTTTTCAAGGCAAGAGACGTTCAGTGGTGGTTTGCCATTGGCCTGCCTCTGCGTAGCGACCAGTGTTCCCTCTAAGCTGAGTTAGTGTGAGCCAGCTCACAGTGTTTTAGCCTCTGGCTCACACGTTTTTGTCTTAGCCCAGGAAGGGTGGCTCCAGAGCAAACTAATTTATGCAGTAGCCAAATCGCTCACTCACAACTTTAAGGCCACTAGCTCAATAGGTAGAATTTTTGCTCACAAGACTCCACAGCTTAGAGGGAGCATTGGTGGCCACCCTGGATTTCTTGGTGGTCTCTCCCATCCAAATACTAACCGGGGCCAAACTTCCTTAGCTTCCAAGATCTAATGAGATCGGGCTAGCCTTGGCCACCTAGGTCAAGGCATTATAGAGGTAGACTCGGGGAATTCTCCAAAGATCCCCTGCATTAAATCAGGGGTGGCCAAACTTGCTTAACGTAAGAGCCACGTAGAATAAACGTCAGATGTTTGAGAGCCACAAGATATGAACAAATATTACACACATGTTTTAAATTGGAAAATATGCAACTTTGCTTTTATTAATATTAAATTGATATCTTTAGATGGGGAGGGAGGGGAGAAAGACAGAGAGAAAGAAAGGTGGAAAGAAAGGCAGTGGAAAGAAAGCAAATAGATAGGGGAGGGAGGGAGAGGTGGAAAGAAAGCAACTTTAATGTTAAATGTGTCCTCCAAGCCCCCACCCCACCCCCACGCCGGCTAGCTTGGCTTGGAGAAGAGATTTATAGAGACAAATGCCTTCTCCAAGCCGGGGGGGGGGGGCTTTGAGAACGCATTTAAAGTTCAAGTTGCTTTCTTTCTCTGCACTGGCTGGGGAAGGGAAGACCAATTGGGGATTCATGCCTCCCCTTTGCTTCCCCGGCCACTGTAGTGGGAGCCGCACAATATGTGTGAAAGAGCCGCATGTGGCTCCCGAGCCACGGTTTTGGCCACCCCTGCATTAAAACAAGGTCTCTCAGGGCTGGCTCTGAGCTGCAAAGTCCATTCTTAAATGTACAGTTTTCGTTTCTGTGATCTCCATTAATTACCCCAGTATAATCTATAAATTCTCCCAGCTGCATAAACATCAACATACAAGAGCATGCTGCTCTATCATCTGGAACTAGTTGAAAGAAACGTCATGTTCTTGATAATCAGTTTACTGAAGCTGGACATCAGATATCTAAGACTGAGAGAATCCTACATATAAAGATAACAATAACAATAATAACAATAGGGCGGGGCAGCGGGCCACTAATGCAAGGCCCAAAACATTAAAAACCTCATAAGTAATTTGACCTTGCCATGATCTGTTTGGGCTTTCAGACATGACTGAGTGTAAGCAGAAGGCCGCTACATAAATTCTCCAAGAAACCATCCGTGGGCAAAAAAGT